CCTTTCCTGGGACTCACTTGGTAGCCCCAGGCTGGCCTCGAACTCACAGAGATCCGCCTGGCTCTGCCTCCCGAGTGCTGGGATTAAAGGCGTGCGCCACCACCGCCCGGCTCTCTCCAGCCCCTTTTTAAGATTTATTTCACTTATCCTTCACCCCCCTCTCTGTATGTTTGCTGATTGGTTTTTGTCAACAGACTGGAGTGAACTGGAACAGACTCCAATGGGTTGGCCAGTGGGCATATCTGCGGGGCATTCTCTTGATTGATAATTGATATAGGAGGGCCCACCCCGTTGTGGGTAGTGCCAATTCTGGACAGGCGGACCTGGGTTATATAAGAAAGCAAGTTGAGCAAGCCAGTCAGCAGAATTCCTCTGTGGTTTCTGCTTCAGTTACTGCCTCCAGCTTCCTGGCTTGGCTTCCTTGATGATGGACTGTAAGCTGAAGCCAAATGAACCTTTTCCTCTCTGAGTTGGGTTTGGTCCATCTGGTGTTTATTACAGTGATAGGAAATAAATAAGAATGTTCGTGCATCTGTGTAAGTGTATGAGCATATATGTGTGTACACTTCTGACTGGGCAGAAATCAGAGACCAGAAGAAGGTGTTGGATCCCTCAGAGCTGTAGTTAGAGGTTTTTGTGGAACACATCATAACCACAACAACTCTTTTTTTTTTTAGATTTATTTATTTATTATGTATACAACATTCTGCCTCCATGTATGCCTGCAGGCCAGAAGAGGGCACCAGATCTCATTATAGATGGCTGTGAGCCATCATGTGGTTGCTGGGAATTGGAACTCAGGACCTCTGGAAGAACAGCCAGTGTTCTTAACCTCTGAGTCATCTCTCCAGCCCAACCACAGCAACTCTTAAAAGGAAAACATTTAATAGAGGCTGGCTTACAGTTTCAGAGGTTCAGTCCGTTATCATCATGGCAGGACAAGGCAGCGTGCAGGAAGACATGGTGCTGGAGAGGTAGCTGAGACTTCTACATCTTGCTGGTAACAGGAAGGGAACTGACACATTAGGTGTGGCTTGAGCATCTATGAGACCTCAAAACCCCCACTCCACAGTAACGCACTTCCTCCAGCAAAGCCACACCTCCTCATAGTGCCACTCTCTTTGGGGGCCATATTTTTTTTCAAACCACCACAAAGGGCTTGTTTTGTGTGTTCTGGGGCTCAAACTCTGGTCCCCGAAGATTGCAGAGAAAGCACTCTTAAGTACTGAGCCATTTGTCTAGAAGGCTCCAGATAGAATCTCTCACTGAGCCTGAGCTCACTGATTTGGCTGGCCGGCCCCTGAGCTTCAGGGATCTACCTGTCTCCATTCCCCTAGTGCTGTACCTACAGACTCATGACACGGTGCCCAGACTTTACAAGGATTCTGGGCATCTGAACTCAAGTTCTCATTCTTAGGGTTTGTTTGTTTGTTTTTATTTGTTTGTTTGAAACAGGGTTTCTCTGTGTAACAGCTCTGGCTGTCCTGGAACTCTCTTTGCAGACCAGGCTGGCCTTGAACTCACAGAGATCCACCTGCCTCTGCCTCCCAAGTGCTGGGATTAAAGGTGTGCACCACCACCACCAGGCTATCAAGTTCTCATCCCTGTGCACACACTTTACTAACTGAGCTATTTCCTCAGAGGTCTGAGTGAGCCTCTTATGCTGCAGGTATCTACTTTTGTGCGGTCCATGTATCCTGAAGAACCATCTATAAATCAGCCTCCAGTTCTTTTTTCTCCAGGCAACTTATCTGACATAACTCTCAATGAGGCCTAGAGTCTGGATTGAAGGAGTTAATGTGGAAAGTGTCAGTGTCAAAGGAAACTGGCTAACTTTCTTGCATTGCATATTTTTATGAGTTCAGACCATAAATAACCTCTGCACTTGATGACGGATTGTTGAACTTCACACCTAACTTTATGGGTGATGCAAGATAACACAACGTTCTTGGCAGAAAGCTCTCCACATCTTCATGGTTATCTGTTATCACATAATTGGATATGTAATCTTTTAAAATTTTAAGTAATCAGTTCATTTATATATATATGTATATATATATATATGTGTATATATATATATATATGTTTTGGTTTTTCGAGACAGTGTTTCTCTGTGTAGGCTTGGCTGTTCTAGAACTAGCTCTGTAGAGACCAAGTTGGCCTCAAACTCATAAATATTTGCCTGGCTCTGCCTCCTGAGTACTGGGATTAAAGATGTGTGCCACCACCGCCAGCCATACATTGGTGTTTTACCTGCATGTATGCCTGGTGCCCACAGAAGCCAGAAGAGGGTGTTACATTCCTCAGAACTGGAGTTACAGACAGATGTCAACCACTGTGCGGGTGCTGGGAAGTGAACCCGAGTCCTCTGGGAGAGAATTCAGTGCTTTTAACTGCTGAGACATCTCTCCAGCCCTGCATGTACAATCTTTACTAGCAGTACCAAGTCAGAAAAATTCAGAAAAGTGAGCAAGCTTACCAGTGTGGCATGAGAGAAACTCTGTAAGCAGATGCATGAGGGGCGGGTTTTAGGGAAGATAAGTACATTATCTCATTAAGGGATAATATTCCTCCCCTCTCCTCTCCTTAGCCTGGCTTCAGGTAAATCAACTTTCCTGATTCTTCCTGGGGATGTGACTGACAGGGCTATCTGGATTAACTCTTAAGGGAAGAGGTAACAATATATTTGGGCATATCCAAATATTATGTCTCTAACCAGAGCCAGAAGTAGAACCCAGAATCCATTATTTTGACTACAAGGAGGCTTTCTTTCACTTAATGGGCCACAACAAATACTTGAAATTTACACCTTTTATATAATTTAAATCTTTTTTTTGTTTTGTTTTTTCAAGACAGGGTTTCTCTGTGTAGTTTTGGTGCCTTTTCTGGATCTCGCTTTGTAGACCAGGCTGGCCTCGAACTCACAGAGATCCACCTGGCTCTGCCTCCCGAGTGTTGGGATTAAAGGCATGTGCCACTACCACCCGGCTTATAATTTAAATCCTAAGGGGGCAACTGTGATGCTTTCCTTGGAAGATGGAGCTCTGGGATGAGCATGAGGGAGAGTGTACATCCTTAATGGCCTCCAAGTCTATAAATCTATCTGGTTATTTAACATTAGGTGAATTGTATGGAACCTCTTTTTTTATTTGTTTTTATTTTTCAAGACAGGGTTTCTTTGTGCTTTGGCTGTTCTAGAACTTGCTCTGTATACCAGGCTGGCCCCAAACTCATAGAGATCTGCCTGCCTCTGCCTCCTGAGTGCTGGGATTAAAGGTATGTGCTACCACTGCCCAGTGGAAACTCTTACTAGCAAGGTTCTAACTAAAATATTTTACTTTACTTTACTTTATATTTTATGTGCAAGGGCATTTTGCCTGCATGTATATCTGTGTACCACATGGACACCTGGTGCCCATAGAAGCCAAAAAAAGGGTGTCAGATCCCTTGGAACTAGAGTTATAGACCATTGTGGGCCACCAATATGGGTTCTGGGAACTGAACCTGGGCCTTCTGGAAGAGTGCCCAGTGCTCTATACCACTGAACCATCTCTCTAGTTCCCTAGATTTAATAGTTATTTAAAGGACAAAAACAAAAGTCTAAAACAATGTTTACCTTTGCTATCTGGTGTCCTTTATTTAGGTTTCAGAATGTGTGGTTTAACTTAAACTCCCCATTTGTCCTTTTAAAAGTGAGTAGTGTGCAGACAGAGTAACTAGAAGGGAAATCTACCTTGAGTTTAACCCAAAAGACGTTTTAGTAGAAGATGCCAAGGCAGCTACTCAGGTGCTTGGCTCTGAAAGCACACAAGGGGTGGCTATTGATGGCTGTTTGGGAACTAACTCGTGTGCTTTGTACCGTCTCTGTCTCTTGGAGACCCTGGAAAAACACAAGGCGGTCTGCACCAGTGGCTGCCTGTCATCCTCTCACAATTAAAATTGAAATATATCATGTAATTGATATTGTTGGGTCTTTATCTGGAGAATTTACTCTGTCTTGACCATAAATTTAAACAAAGATTGAAAAGAATACAAGAGATAAATCAGTACTCCACAATATAACCTACAGTTTGAAAATTAGTAAGACTCATCTAAAAATGTTGGCATTCTAATGTAAAGACACCAGGGTAAAATCAAAACTTAATTCTTGTGTCTAAAGCCACAACAATTTTTTTTGAGACAGGGTTTCTCTGTGTAGCCTTGGCTGTACTGGAACTCGCTCTGTAGACCACGCTGGCCTCAAACTCAGAGATCCACCTGCCTCTGGCTCCTGGGTGCTGGGATTAAAGGTGTGATATGAAGCATGATTCTAATTAGTCTTATCAATAAAAACCAGTTGTCAGATATCGGAGTGAAAGCTGAAAGATCAGAGAAGCAGAGCAGCAGCCACTAGAGACTTCTTACATCTACCAATTCTCTGACCAAAAAGGACGGAGATCCTCTCTACCTTGCTTTATCACTTCCTCTCTCCACCCAGTCTTGTCACTTCCTGTCTCCTGACTGTACAGACCTCCAGACCTCTCTGGTTAACTAGTGGCTAGCTCCACCCTCTGATCTCCAGGCGAGCTTTATTTGTCAGAACACAAACAGAATACACACAACAATGTGCCACCACTGCCCAGCTAGCAACAGTAATTCTAAAGGTTTATTTTAGTTACTTTTCTATTGCAGTGACAAAGCACCCACCAAGGCAACTTATAAAAGAAAGTGTTTAAAATTAGGCTTCTAGTTTCAGAGAGTTAGAAGCCAAGATAGTGGAGCAAAGACCTGGCGGCTGGGACAGCTGAGAGTACATATCTTGATGCACGAGGAGGAGGAGGAGGAAGAGGAGGAGGAGAGAGAGAGAGAATTCTGGGAATGACCTGTGTCTTAGTTAGGGTTACTGTTGCTGTGAAGAGACACCATGACCACAGCAACTCTTTTTTTTTTTTTTTTTTTTTTTTTTAATTTTTTTTAATTTTTACAGGGTTTCCCTGTGTAGCTTTGCGCCTTTCCTGGAACTCGCTTGGTAGCCCATTCTGGCCTCGAACTCACAGAGATCCGCCTGGCTCTGCCTCCCAAGTGCTGGGATTAAAGGCGTGCGCCACCACCGCCCGGCAACACAGCAACTCTTATAAAGGGAAATCATTTAATTGGGGTGGCTTACAGTTCAGAGGTTCAGTCATCATGGTGAGACATGGCAGCATGTAGGCAGATATGGTACTGGTGAGGTAGCTGAGAGTTCTATGGGGGCCAATTCTAACTACCACATTCTACTCCCTGGCCCCATAAGCTTTTCATTTCATATTAACCATTAACATTCATAAGTAACCATTTCATAATGTGAAATGTATTTAGTCCAACTTCAAAGTCCCTGTAGTTTATCACAGTCTCAGGAGTGTTTTAAAGTGGAAAGTTCAAAGTCTCTTCTAAGATTCATGTAATATCGTAACTGTAATCCCCTGTAAAATAAAAATAAAAAAACAGACCATACACTTTTAACATATAATGGCACATATACATTACCATTCCAAAATGCAGGGAAGGTAGCATAATGATGAAATATTGGACCAAAGCAAGATCAAAAACCAGCTGGGCAAACTCCGGATTCTGCATCTCCATGTCTGATGTCAAAGTGCTCTTCAGATCTCCAACTCCTTTCAGCTTTGTTGACTGTAATACACTTCTTTCTCTTGGGCTGGTTCCACTCCTTTAGCAGGTATCCCATGGCTCCGGCATCTCTAACATCTTGGGGTCTCCAAGGTAATCCAGGCTTCTCCTTCACATCTTCACACAATGGCCTCTCTGGGCCTCCATGCAGGAACACTTCTGACATATGCCTGGCCTCAGGGGATTTCCTTATTCTGGAGGAATATTCCGTAACTCCTTTCTTCCATCCTTGACTCTAAAGCTAGAACCACATGGCTGAAGCTGCCAAATTCTGCTGCATGCTGGGGCTGGAACATGACCCCCTCATTCAACTACACCTTCACCACTGTTTTACATGGTTTTCTTCACTGCTTAACCTTGGCTGTCCTGGAACTTGCTCTGTAGACCAGGCTGGCCTCAAACTCAGAGATCTGCCAGTCTCTGCCTCTGGAGTGCTGGGATTAATGATGTGTACCATCACACTCTGCTTTAAGCTTTTTTAAATTCCTTTTCACAAGTAGGACACTTACTGGGTGGGATCTTGCCCTGAGGTCACCACTCCCTTTAATTCATTTCTGAATCCGTTTGTCTCCTTGAACACAGGACTTAGCTCCACCCAAGTTCTTGGTGCTCCCTTTCTTCTCAAATATTACGTTTTGTAATTTACCCTGTTCAGCTTGCTCCTTTTCATTATAAATCTTTTTTTTTTTTTTTTTAAGATTTATTTATTTATTAGGTATACAGCCGGTATGACTGCAGGCCAGAAGAGGGCACCAGATCTCGTTACAGATGGTTGTGAACCACCATGTGGTTGCTGGGAATTGAACTCAGAACCTCTGGAAGAGCAGCCAGTGCTCTTAACCTCTGAGCCATCTCTCCAGCCCCTCATTATAAATCTTTACTAAAGTTACCACTAATAATCACATGACAGAGTGTATACTAGGCTGTTTTGAGATTTCCTCTGCCAACAGAATTAATCTCGAACTCTTCACTTTAGCCTCAGGCAGACTTTTTGGACAAGAACAAAAAACAGCCACTTTTTCACCAAAATATCACAAAAACAATCTCTAGACCACATACTAACATTATTTCCCTCTGAAACCTCTTGATCCAGGCACCCACACTTCAACTCACACTCAGCACCACTGTCTTCCATGATATTACCCTGCTTAAAGCATTCTACTACTTTTTTTTTTTTCTTTTTGGTCTTTTCGAGACAGGGTTTCTCTCTGTAGCCCTGGCTGTCCTGGAACTCACAGTGTAGACCAGGCTGGCCTTGAACTCACAGAGATCCTCCTGCCTCTGCCTCCTGAGTGCTGGGATTAAAGGAATGAGCCACCACCACCTGGCCTCTACTGCTTTCTTAACCCAAAGTACCAAAGTCTAAATTCCTCCAAACAAAAACATGGTCAGGCCTATCATAGCAATACCCTACTCTTGGTACCAACTTATGTCTTAGTTAGGGCTTCTATTGCTGTGAAAAGACACCATGACCACTGCAACTCTCATAAAGGAAAACATTTAATTGGGTAGCTTACAGTTCACAGGTTCAGTCCATTATTATCATGGTGGGACATGGCAGCATGCATTGTGCTGGAGAGGTAGCTGAGAGTTCTATATCTTGGGCAAACAAGAAGTGGTCTGAGACATTGGGCATGGCTTGAGCATATATAAGACCTCAAGCCCTCCTCTACAATGATACACTTCCTCCAACAAGGCCATACCTATACTAACAAAGCCACACTTCCTAACAGTGCCACTCCCTATTAGCTTATGAGGGCAAATTACATTCCAAACTACCACAGCCTGTGTCTTTTGAAACCTGAAATCTGACCCCCATTGGCATGCTTCTTCCAACAAGGCCACACACCTCCCAATCTTTCCCAAATATTTATCAACTGGGGACCAAGTACTCACGCATACAAGCCTATGGCCATGGGGGCGGGGCACTCTCCTTCAAACCACCACAGAGATATTGTTCTGATTTTAGTAACATCTAGTAGTTGACTTAAAACACAAGATTTTACATTTTGCTAAAAAATGTTTGTTTTCAGCTGGGTGGCAGTGGCACATGCCTTTAATCCCAGCACTCGGGAGGCAGAGGCAGGTGGATCACTGTGAGTTCGAGGCCAGCCTGGTCTACAGATCGAGATCCAGGACAGGAACCAAAACTACACAGAGAAACCCTGTCTCGAAAAACAGAAACAAAAACAAAAGTTTGTTTTCTGTGGTTTATGTTTCAGTATTTTGACCCCTTAGAACATTATCCTCAATTCCATATTCACTTAAAAGTATCTATTTATGGGGCTGGAGAGATGGCTCAGTGGTTAAGAGCACTGACTACTCTTCCAGAGGTCCTGAGTTCAATTCCCAGCATCCACATGGTGGCTCACAACCACCTATAATGAGATCTGGTGCCCTCTTCAGGCCTGCAAGGACACATGCAGACAGAACACTGTATATTTAATAAATAAAAATAAATCTTAAAAAGAAAAAAGCTCGCCGGGCGGTGGTGGCGCACGCCTTTAATCCCAGCACTCGGGAGGCAGAGCCAGGCGGATCTCTGTGAGTTCGAGGCCAGCCTGGTCTCCAAAGCGAGTTCCAGGAAAGGCGCAAAGCTACACAGAGAAACCCTGTCTCGAAAAACCAAAAAAAAAAAAAAAAAGAAAGAAAAAAGCTCTTAAAAAAAAAGTATTATATTGAGGCAGAGCCAGGCAGATCTCTTTGAGTTCGAGGCCAACCTGGTCTCCAAAGCGAGTTCCAGAAAGGCGCAAAGCTACACAGAGAAACCCTGTCTCCAAAAAATATTAAAGTCTTAAAATTTTTTACATTTATTTTGTGTGTGGGCATATATATGTACGTGGGGGGTAGAGGGCAGGGCTCATGTGCTACCTTGCACATGTAGAGGTCAGATAACTTGTAGGAATCATCGGTTCTCTCCTTCTATCATGTGGGTCCTGAGAATCAAACTCACTGTCAGCAGGCTTGGCAGCAGACAGCTTTACCTGTTGAGTCAGCTCACCAGCTGTTAGTCTTTTAAATGGTCACTTTATAAGAAGTATTGTTTGTTAGGTCATAGATCTGCTGCTTTAAGTCATGGTCATTCTCAGAGACCAGACGTGGCAGGCTGGTAGCAATCAGGTAGTGTCCTGGGAATAAAGGACTAACAGGTGCCTGCAGGGAGACTAAGCCTAACCCCTCCCTTACAACTGCAAGGTAAGTTTATGGTCCTAATGCCTTCCTCCATGCCCCTTGGCACATAAGCAAGGCCAGGCTAAGTCATGTGGTGTGGAACTCATTACTACCTTGAAGAGCTGGAAGAGTCAGCAACCTGTGTTTGCTGGATTTGAATGTTCTTTCCATCAGGTCCCTGCTAGGCTACACATGGCAGCTCTCTCTATTGCAGTTTCTCTGCCCTGAAGGTCTGCTCTCACCCTTCAAACGCCATCTCCTAATAAAGCTCTCATGGAGGGTGATCTCATGCCATCTTTCTGCCTTACCTGCCACTCGGTTCTTTTTATTTTTTTTTTTAAAGATTTATTTTATTTATTATGTATACAGTGTTCTGCCTGCATGTGTCTTTGCAGGCCAGAAGAGGGCACCAGATCTAACTGCAGGTGGTTGTGAGCCACCATGTGGTTGCTGGGAATTGAACTCAGGACCTCTGGAAGAGCAGTCAGTGCTCTTAACCACTGAGCCATCTCTCCAGCCCTCTTTTTATTTCTAACATCTGTTGTTGATCCCAAGCACCCGAAAGGTACACAAACACTGCCCTGTGACTGCCTTCTCTTTCCCACTCCAGATGAACACCAGGTTCCATCTGTTAGTCTCCATGTTTTGGTCATGCTACTGGGTTCTGATGGTCCCTTCTCTCCTCCATTGGCCTGTGAGCCTGGTTCACTCGGCACCAGGTGTTGTGTATCCTCTGCCAGCCTCCAAGCCTGACTCTCTCCCACACTGTCTGTTATGCTCTGCCTTGTCAGCCTCTGGCCCCTCTCCCTGATCCTCTTCCGTCTATTGCCCTCCTCCACCAGTGGACAAGGTCTGCGGCAGCCTGGTGGTGAAGTCAGTTTTTCCCTCCTCTGCTGAGCTCACCCACTGACAGCATGAACATTGTCAAAATCCAAAGTTGGGTCTGAAGACTCCATCAAGGTATTTTCTCAGACCAGTTGGTTCTTCAGGACAATGACCTGCCAGTCATGGCCATAGGGAAAAGTCAAGTCATTAGAACCATCTGCATCTTTCTTCCTTTGACCAGACTCCCCCACTCAACTCCTTGTCTCTGGCCCCTTCCCTAACTCCTAAAAACAGGGCAGCTCAAGTGGGCCCCACAATCTGAAAGTTCCTTTCACTCCTTCCATAAAGATAAACTCTTTGCCATCCTTCTCAAAGCTCAGCACACTTTCTGATGGCCGCTCAGCTCTGCTCTCTTCTCTCATTCCCCCTTTTGGCTGGCTTTTGTGAAAGAAACACGATGGATCCTTTTCAATACAAGAGTGCCTGAGATAGACTTCAGGTAAGCAAGAGGCACTGGGTCCCCTGCCCCAAAGTTGGCACCTGCTTGTCTGCCTTTCCGTTACCCTTCATTCAAACAAAAAGTTTATCTCCAGAGGAGAAAATGCAGGCTGTACACTATGTAGCTAAGCATGGGGAAGGGTGGATAAAACTTGTGTGATGTGTGCAAAGTCTGTATTTCCCTCTGTATTCAGCCAATGGTGAAGAGCAGGGTGGGGCCTGCTGATTAAAGCCACAAGAATGACTTCCACTGGGCATGGTGACCCATGTCTCAGTATTCAGCAGAGGCAGGTGGATCTCTGTGAGTTCCATGCCACCCTAGTTTATTTACATATTTACAGCCAGGACTGTATAGTGAGACCTTGTCTCAAAAACACAGAAAAACAACACAACACAAAACACCCGACAATGACGACAAAAGCCTGTTTCATGACTAACCAGAGCACCTGCCCTCTCGGCCCCTGCCCTTGCAGCTCATAAAAGTTACTGTCTTGGTTTGGCCATTCTGAGTCTCTGGGACCAGTTTTTATGAATTTGGGGTCCCACTCCTCACAATCTGGGGGCTTCTCTGGCACATCTGTGCTTAGAGAAAAATCCTTTTGTCTCCAGAGAGTGGGAGGAGTCCTGTCTCACTTGAGAGCCGTCAGCTCTGCCAGATCTTTGCCTCTGGTGTGAAACCCATGTAGGGAGACTTGAAGAGTGCTTTGTCAGAAAGGGACATCTGAATCAGCCACCTAAGTGCGCAGGAAAGGCAGGAAAAGTTGAACCTAGCACTGGCTTGGACATTTTGGGAGGGTGAAAGTTTGTGATTACTAAGACAACTAACTGCTCAATGGTACTCACTACTAGGTAAAAGAGATCTTGGAAACAAGGACCCTGTTCTCATGGGATGTACAAATACATCATGTACTGCAAAGTTCCATAAAAAAAAATAGACAAATACATCGTCTACTGTAAACGCCCATAGAAGAACAGTGCAGGTCACTGTGAGAGTGAATAAAAGGGCCTCTCGAGGGAGGCAATACTTGCGCTGACTTCTCAGAAATAAAGCTACAGCATTACAGAGGCAAGCCTGGAGTATACAGTGAATGCCAGTATGGCCGAGGCACTGTGACTGTGGACTTGTGTAAAAGGTAAGCTTAGAGAGGGAAGTCAGACAGACTCCACAGGACAAAACTGATCAGTGCTATGGAATAATCCTCTTGTACACCGTCAAGATTTGTCACTTAAATTGGTTAAATAAAATGCTGATTGGCCAATAGCCAAGCAAGAAGTACAGATGGGGTGACCCAACTAAGAATGTTGGGAAGATGAAGGGTGGAGTCAGGAGTCACCAGCCAGATGCAGAGGAAGCAAGATGAGAATGCCATACTGAGAAAGGATACCAAGCCATGTGGTTAAACATAGATAAGAATTATGGGTTAATTTAAGTGTAAAAGCTAGTTAGTAATAAGCCTGAGCTACCAGTCCAGCATTTATAATTTATATTAAGCCTCTGAGTGATCGTTTGAGGGTGGCTGCAGGACACAGGAAAACTTCCACTTACAGATCAGCTCTTCAATTACCAGACTAAATGCTGATCCAGAAAGAGAAAGCAGGGGAGACGAGTCAAGGGCTTGAACCACTGCATTACAATGGCAACAGAGACGTCAAGTGACAATTTAGTGACAAGACTTGGGAATCACCTCATCAAAAGTAGTAATTAGGAAAGCAGAGGATACAGAGAAGACTCCCTAATTTTAAGCAGATAAAGGAAAATCAAAAAACAAAAAACTAGTGACTAGGCCAACAAAAAGTTCTTGGGGGGTGGTGGTGGACAATTGTCATGGTTGGAGAAGTACCAAATGTCCACTGACTTAGCAATAGGGTTCACTGATGACCTTAGTAGGAATAAATAACTTCAGTGAAATAAAAAGGTAAATCTCAGATTGCTATAAATGAGGAATGACTGGAAAGTGAAATAGTTTGGCTACAATGGAAAGAGAAAGCAGGAAACAGTTAAGATGGATTCAAGAAAGAATATTAACATAGGAGAAACATGAACATATTCGTATACTAAAAGTGGGAGACACCCAAGATAAAAGAGGGGACAATGGATTGAGGAGATGTCACAGTAAGTAAGGTACTTACTGTGCAAGCATGAGGACTTCAGTTTGATTCCCTAAGAGCAATAAAAGCTAGGTGCAGTGGATTCCGAAAAGGTCAGTGATAAGCTGTTTGTCTTAACAAGGCCAATTACACGATGGCAGGCTAAGATCAGAAAGAAGAGCTGCTTGTACCCAGCTGCCCTGTTCTCATGGGATGTACAAACAAATACCATGTGGAGGTAAGAAGAGTACCATACACATTTTAGGAGAACATCCCTGCTCTTAATTGATGCACAGAATTGCAGTCTTGGGGTCCATGTGGAAATGCTTCTACAAAATTCAGAGCCAAGCAGAGGATGACTACCAGCAAGCTCTAAGATATGTCTTTGACCAACAGTTAAGACACATCTTTCTATAAGTAGAATGGGGATAGTCAATACGGGTTGAAAGAGTATGAAATCTTTCTATATTTTCTTATGACATCGCCATTTACAAATGACTTCCCTCCTAAAGGTTACAGAATAATTTCTGTATCATTAAGTAGGGATCTGTATCATTTAAGCTCTAGCACCTTCTTTACACCCCATAATCTCTTACGGGTGTCATGTTCATTAAATTTGTCTGTCATATTCTGCCAAGGAGAAAGATAACTCAAGTCCCTTTGGATTCACCCAAACTAACCTACAAACGGTAGGAAACCATGCTTACATATCCAACATAAGGTCACGCATAGAGCTAAAGTCCAAATTATCTTACTTCTAAATCCTTTTTTAAACTTCACCTCTAAGTCCCTGACAACTTAAAAAGGATCCTTAGTAAAAGTTTAGCACACGGAACCATCCCCTCATTTCTAAGGTTCCTCAGTGCCTTTTTGTTCACTGAGAAGATACACAATCCAGTTTCAAAACTCACATCTAACTTCCCTTTATAGAAATTATAAGTATTTCCTCCCTATTAAATTACAGCAGAAGCCGGGCGGTGGTGGCGCACGCCTTTAATCCCAGCACTCGGGAGGCAGAGCCAGGCAGATCTCTGTGAGTTCGAGGCCAGCCTGGGCTACCAAGTGAGTTCCAGGAAAGGCGCAAAGCTACACAGAGAAACCCTGTCTCGAAAAACCAAAAAAAAAAAAAAAAAAATTACAGCAGAAATATACCTTATGGAGCAAATAGATGAGAAATAATAGTTCCACAATTGCTCACTCAGGAGTTTACTTGCATAATACTTGGTTATATTCTTTTGCATTTTTTTCTACTTCTATCATGTGGCCTTCCATTTAGTGATGAAAATGAAGGAAATCTGAATCTTTTTTTTTTTTCTTCCTGTCAACTACTGAGTGAAGTTCCCAAGATACACTTCATCTACAACAAGGAATACCACACAAGTCTGACAGGACTTGTCAACTTAATTTCAAACATCTTTCAAAATCATTTTACAAGTTAAGAGATAACCAGGTTTTCTCCCCTCCTCTTTCTCCAGCTCTCCTCTCAACACATACATGGAACCACATACTTCTTTCCTGAAGCTACCAGGGAGCAATACTACTGCAGGCATTAGCATTTTCAGCAATGATCTGTCAACCACACTTGCACAATCTGGTGGTCTTGGCAATGGAGGGAAAAGTGTCATTTACGGGTTGGGGATTTAGATCAGTGGTAAAAGCGCTTGCCTAGCAAGCACAAGGCCCTGGGTTTGGTACTCAGCTCCAGAAAGGAAAACAAAAAAAGTGTCATTTACTCTTTTTTTGGTTTGCTTTTTTGAGACAGATTTTCTGTGTAGCCCTGGCTGTCCTGGAGCATGCTCTGTAGACCAGGCTGGCCTCAAACTCTAAGATCCGTCTGCCTCTGCCTCCCGAGTGATGTAATTAAAGGCATGCACCACCACCACCCAGTGTCATTTACTCTTCTAAGGTAACCTGGGTTTAAATTACTTGTGAGTATTAGAAGGCCAAAGGAAAAAGGAAGTATTCCCTTGTTTTCCCCATTGTTGGTTCTCAGCAAAGGGAGTAAGTCTAAGAACCAAAAGTAATAAAGGTCTAGTGGTGTAGGCTTCTATCACTAACTACATGGGAGCAGACACAATGAAAGCACAAGGCCCGTCTGGGCTACAGAGTAAGTTCAAGGCTAGCTTGAGCAACTTAATGTTAAAAGTAAAAAGGTGGTTGAGACCATAACAGTGGTGGATGTACAATCTCCACTATTTGAGAGAGGGCAAAGGAAGGATGTCTTTTGGTTATAGTTTCTTAATGAAAACAGGACAGACAAGTGGGGTGGTATAAGCCTGATATCCAGGCAGGAGGATCCAAGGTTAAAGGAGAACAGGTAAGCCTGTGCTAAACAGGTCATCTTAAAAAACAAAACAAAACAAAACAAAATAGACATGTAAAATCATCAAGAACTACTTCTTCTACACCCCATTCCAAACAAACACATACCCTATTTCTCAGCAGTGATAACAGGTTAACACCACCAATCAAGTCATTCTTCCAGCTTAGTTCTTTGTGTTATAGATAACAAGTAAAGTATTAGTAACAGCTTTGGCCCAGGTTAAACGTGGCTCCCAGTTATTGGCTAATTTTCCTCAATATTTCCAGTATTCATTCTCAGAATTTACCTTTACTTGGTTACCATGTGAAATCACACCAATACAAATGATGGGATGGGCTGAGAGTTGGGATGAGGAATCTGAGCACAGACACATATGGAAAAAAATTAGATGTAATAAAATTAGCCACATTTACCACAATTTTAGAAGACAAAAAAAAAAAAAAAGAAAGAAAGAAAAGAAAAAGACCATGCTCAAACATCATGAAATCAAGTTATTTCTGTAACTTACCATCAATAACTCTGGTAAATTTTAATGAGCATGTAAGTGGGAGGTTCAGGTCCTTAAAATATATTGTTTCGACAAACACATTATTGAGGGAGAGCACATGTCTTCTCAGTGCACATCCTATGCCGCACAGTAGTGGGTGGATCCAGGCCAAGAGAATACTCCAATTTCAAAGACACCAATGTTCATTCTTCTATAAATACCACTTGGCAAATCCCTACTCAAACAAAGTAATGGTGTGGTTTGACTTAAAGGAACAGATTTGAAAGGTGCAGTACTCAAAGACCTAACACAAAGCAACATTCTACACACATGAAGCTAATTCACATGTGAAACTTTATTGGACCTGGTCTTAAGGTTATATGGGGCTTCGACAACTTAAAATTTCCACAATTTGCAATTTTCAAAATTCATCCCAAATTGTTGTTTTCTCCTGCAAGTAGACTTTCCTAACTTTCTGAAAGGTAGGCTTTCTTTTTTTTTTTTTTTTTTTTTTTTTTTTTTTTTTTTGGTTTTTCGAGACAGGGTTTCTCTGTGTAGCTTTGTGCCTCTCCTGGAACTCACTTGGTAGTCCAGGCTGGCCTCGAACTCACAGAGATACGCCTGGCTCTGCCTCCCGAGTGCTGGGATTAAAGGCGTGCGCCACCACCGCCCGGCTAGGTAGGCTTTCTTAATTTCCTCCCTTTTCCTACTTTATTGGCTGACACACAGAGGTACTACAGAATTAAATCACTGACAAATAGTTTCTTTTTTTCTTTTTCTTTTCTTTTCTTTTTTTTTTGAGACAGGTTTTCCCTATCATGCTGCTCTGGCTGTCCTGGAACATGCTATGTAAACCAGCCAGCCTCTGTCTCCCAGAGTGTCAGGATTAAAGGTGTGTGCCATCACACCCAGCTGACAAGCAGTGTCTTCACATGAACTGCATCCAGCAAAGTAAGAAAACTGACGTTTCCTGGACTCCTGTGGAGAACAAAAGCAGAGACGGAAGGGAAGCACTAGTGAACTCGGGCTAATCTTAAGGGTCTGGCCGTATCTGGCTCATTTTTATCACGGACAACCACAGACTTAATGTTCGCCTTCCAGTTCTTTGAAGTGTGACATGCAGTAATTCATATCTCACTGAGGCACAAGTCAAGAGTCAGAAAGGCCACGCTGGTTTAGAGCAGCTTAGTGAGGGAGCCACGTCTCTCCATCTCCACATTCCACGTGGCTTCTGAAGGAACACAGAAGTGAAATAACATTTTTGAGAAGATGATGACACCTCTTCTCCCTAACTAGGGACTATTAGGTAACTATTGCCACCCTGTACTTCTGAATATGGGGATTGCATACAGTTCTAATGACAAGAACTGCCCTGTCAAGAATTATCTAAGACTTAACTACTGCTACTATTTTTTGAGACAGGGTCTTACTATGTAGCCCTGGCTAATGAGGAACTTGTTATGTAGACGAGGCTGGCCATGAACTCCTGCCTCTGCCTCCCAAGTGCTGGGATTAGTGTGTATATCACCATACTCCACAGACTTCAACTTTTTTTCATTCTGTTACCTTTGTCAAAATATCTATAATGAAGGCAGTGAGAAATAGTTTCAAAAAAATATTAAATGTTTAAGTCAAAACACTAATAATGAAGAACTGCAACTCTGAGGAGACAGAAAGAGAAACATTATAAATCAAGTTTTAATACAAAATGTAAACAAACAATACAGAAGAATGGAGTTAGTTGTAATTTTCATGAAACAATGTTTTACATTAGAACATCTACTTTTCCTTAAATAGATGACTCTTATTTCACTTAACTCACAAATTATAGGTTTTTTTTTTTTTTTTTTAATTTGTGGGGTGGGTAGAGTGCTAGTTTCTCTCTCATATCCTTAGAAGAATATTTTATAATTTAATTACTTCTATTTTATGTGTTTGAATATTTTCCTGAATATATGTCTGTGCACACGTGTGCAGTGCTCTTGGAGGTCAGAAGAGGACGTAGGATCCCCTGGAACTATAGTTACTGATGGTGTGGGCCACCATGTAGTGTTGAGAATTGAACCTGGGTCCTCTGGAAGAACAGTCAGTGCTCTTAACTGTTGAAACATCTTCCCAGACCCTCTCTTATATTCTTTTGAGTTTTGGCATAAATCTATGGTTAAGACAAACCAAATTTCTCAAATAAGTACAGAAAGAGTCAAATGAATCAATTAAATTATATATTTAAAGTTTCAAAATGTCAGAAGATGACAGGCAGCTAGTCACAGGTACAGACTGCCTATTTCTGAGGTCTCCAATGACAAACACTGTACAAAGTACACAAATTATTCCCTCAACAGTCACCTTTCAGCATCCTCATGGCTCTGTTCTGGTAACAGTTAATGGAAAATAGTTAATTGGAAGGAAAATCAAATTTTTTAATGCATTCTGGGATTCCATCACTTATATTTTAAATTTCCGAAGGGTGGGAGTACACTCAATTTTTAAACCACAGGTATTTCAAGTCTTTTACAAAGACAAAAAGGTAAAAAAAAAAAAATTGTGCTTTTTTTTTTGTTATAACATCAACCAAATAAAATTCTTAAATGATAATCTTCATAGTTTGGTAAAACAAAATATATGAAATTAACTAATTATTTAATTAATTAGTAACCGCTACTCACACCCACATGGAGATGGAAATTCAAGACACAAGCACAACACATTCAAACCACATAACTGGTCAAGATATTCAAATGTTAGTTAATAAGTGAAGAGACCAAAAAGTAGGTAGTATAAACCAGAAACTGGATGTTGTACCTACAGCCGTACCACCTGTATGTGTATATCTCATCTGACCTCGAAAGCTAAGCAGGGTCAAGCCTGGTTAGCATTTGGGAAGGCATTTCGTAAGAAAAACCTTTTCTCTTCTTAAGATGCCTTTTGAGGTAACCCTCATACCCACACAGTCTGTAACTGGACAGTACATCTCACTTCTAGTTACTAGAAGACATTTCCTTAAGAGACCGGGGCAATGGGGAGCAGAGACCACAAACTTTCTAGGTTTGCTCAATGCCCCCTTGAAGAGGACAACTGATGAGTTTAAGTCAAACTGCAGATTCTTAAGCCAAAATAAAGAACACAGGATAGTGAAGATAAATATTTTTAGAAAATTTTTTTGTCCTTTAAAATATATTAGTCCCCTTCTAGTAGAGTTTACAGAGTACACCTAACACCTTTATAAGAACCCAGGACACAACAGGGGAGAGGACACAGCACCATAGTTTCAAACATACAAAACATTCAGCACTGACCAGAGTAAGACCAAGCTGCCCAACAGACAGGGACAAGTCCCAACATGGAGGAAATATATTATCTATTCCAAGAGAAGAAAAGTGGAAGATATGTTTAGGTGAGAATGGAGAAGGGAGTGCTAACTCCTTGTACTACAAGGAAGGAATGGGATTTCTTTATCAAAAAGCAGAAAGAAAATGCAAGCTCCCAAATGGATTTCTGATGCTCAAACTCTGTCATACGCTGCTGGTAACAGTAAATATATATATATATCTATATTCATATATGTATATTAAAAAAGGAAAAATAATCTATAGAACAGTCAGTAGTCAGAGACATTTAGAAAAAAGTAAAAACAAGTCTTTCTTTCTTTTTAAAAACGGATTTACTAAAACAGCTTCACACCCAGAGGACCTATAACCCCATATCCTCTGATGAAGCCATGGTGTTATTCATCAACATCTTCTGGGGCTATGTTGGAAACTACAGGCATCAGGGTTAGGGCTGCAAGGCAAAAGCTGTTATTTGCCAGTCTTGCTCATGGCCATGCCTGAAGCATGGTGGAGTCTGGAATACTTGTGAATGAGGGTTTCCCAGATAAGCATGCATCACTGAGGCTCAGTAAAATGTTCTCATTAGTCATCCCTATTCCCTCCAGAAACCTGGATCCCATGTACCTCTCTTCTCTAAAACAGACCCAGACAGACTTCTCAAACCAATGGGCTAACTTGCCTTGAAATAAGGAAAAAACCTTCTTCCCAGAATCCAGTCTAGTCAGATTTCCTAACCTGCTGATATCCTCCTAAGGAAAGTGAGGGGCTCTTTTGGAGGACTTTCTTATTGGTATAAATAAGCACAAGCAGCTGAGGTCCACAGACTGCACTGCCACCCCGAGACTTCTAGAAGGGATAACTTTGGCCTGCTCCTCCCAGCTGGATCAGTGGGGCATAAATGCCAGTAAATTATGGAAAAAAGAGTTGTACTGACTCCTGATTCAAACGACCAGGGCCTTCTGATGGCACCTGAGGTTGTAACCTTTTACAACTAGTTTCAGTTGGTCACAAGCCACCCCTAATATGCCTCACTAAGCACATCAATGTGTTAATGACACATAGCCTTCCAAGAGTTCCATCAAGAACCTGATCTTGCAAACCATCCTCAAAGGAGTCAAGAGCTAAAATACTGGCTGCTGTACCAAGAAGACATCCTCTGCACAGATGATTGAGAATGTAGCCCACACAATCCATGCACAGAGGAAGCCAGCACTAAGAGGACTTTCTCTGAAGTCCATTCATCTTTGGAAACAACATTCTGAGTGGTCGACACCACTCTGCTTGATGAATAAGGTCTCAATGTGGTCCATTTCCCCCCATGTTGCAAGCTAATCAAGCATCTGCTAACTGGTCTCTTTAAGATCCTCCATTGGAAGTTTGTAGCTCATTATGAAGGGAGGAGGTGGTGCTTGGCCTGGGCTATCTGGCCCCTGCTTCTTTGCACAGTTTATACAGATGTAATCTTCATTTTCAGCCATTTCTGGGGATACACCAACACAAACTTGATGAAACCACTCATCACAGCCACCATCACATTGCACCCAGTCTACCTGTAGAAGATAAAGATTGGGAAATGTTAAGTATCGTAATAGTAAGACCAGAATAAAAGCAAACCAAAGAGCTTTCTTGGCTTAAAGGAGAGCAAACAATTGGGATATCCAGAGATAGATATGACTTCTTATGGGGTTATTTTTCAAAGAAAGAAGCTGATAAGTTAATACCCCCAAATTATAGTTTACCATAGTGTGTCCACAAAATTAGGCCTCTTAGGTACTCTATTACCTCATGAATACCTGGGGTTCCGTGTGAGGCAGAAACATGATTGGGGAATACTTGACAAAAAAGAAACTTCTAATAGAGCAGCCAAGTAGTTTTAGCTAATATTAACAGGTTCTAGGCTCTAAGACAATGCAATTAACAATCAAGAAAGGAAGAGTACAACAATGTGAGGCAATCCTGTAGATTAGCTTTATTTCAAAGAGATAAGCCAAAGTACTAAGAGCATTAAATACCTTTTTAGAAAAGCAGTCACATAGGCCACTTTTAAAACTACTATTTTTTATTCTTCTCTTCTTCCGTTACAAATACAACTCCCTATAAAAAGTTAGCAAATATCAGAGGTCAAATCTTACAAGTTAACCAATTACAACAGTCAAAGACACAGGTCAATAGATTACTCTGGGGTTTAAAATTAGTCTGAAAAAATGACAAGTGTCAGCGGCAGATGCCAGGCCAACACTAATCCTTCAGGGCCTACAGTGACTACAGGAGACAGGAAAGGACTTTGGCTTGGTGACTTTACACCTTGGTGCTTACAGTAAGGCAAGGTAGTGTAACTTCAGGCTTTTCTGTTTGGAAGGCGATTGTGGTTCTTACACTTATGTCACAGTAGACAGGATTCTATCAGGATGAAAAGAGCTAGTCCTCCTCCTTCACAGTACAAAGGCTGATCACTGTGGTGGTGATACAGGAAGCCACTTACAACCATGAGCTTTGTCAGACAGCCAGTGGAGAACAAAGGAGGCCTTGGCTAGGAAAGTAAGTTTTATTCAGGGAAAGTGAGTGGTTTTCAAAATGTTTCCGTAGCTTGTAAAATTTACAACAATCATGTCAGTAATTTTGGACTTGTAATAAAAGATGGAAAAATTATTTATAAAATATTGTCATTTGGCTTTTGTTAACTTTTATCATTTCTATTTTAAGTACTTTAAATACTTGTATTTTTTAAAAATTTTTTTTTCTTCCCATAATCAAATTCTTTAGGTGTTCCCCTTAGGCATATAGTCTTACTGCGTAGCCCAGGCTAGCCTGAAACTTCATTTTCGGTCTAGCACTCCGCCAGGCTCAAAGGAGATCCTCTGTCTTAGCCTTCACAATGTTGGGATCTCAGAGGCAAAGTTTTAAGTTTATTAAAGGAAAGTACACACTTAGAAGTTGAGTGTGGACTTCAAGACATTCTAGATGATTCAGACCACTGATATCTCTTCTTTGTGATATTGCTTCCTGTAAGTTCAGAGCAACTTTACTCCCACCTAAACTAAATTCTATTTATTTGTAACTGTATGTTTTGCCTCAGAAGAAAGCAAAAGTATAGTTAAGAAACAGATCACAATGACCCTGGTATAACCAGCGAAAAGTTAGATAACAGGCTGTAGAATAAAGTAAATATGAAGGAGCTATAGGAAAGTAAACATTTATAAACTGCTAACCATTGCAGGTGAACTGAAGATGCATGTTTCAGGTGTTTGGAGCTTATAAAGGAATTAGAAAAATGACCTGTGTTTCATGGAATTGCATAGATTTGGGATAATATGATTCCCCCCCAACCCTCAAAGACAGTGTTTCTCTGTGAAGTCCTGACTGTCCTGGAACTTACACTGTAGACTAGGCTGCCTTGAACTCATATAGAGATGTGCCTGCCTCTGCCTCCCAAGTGCTGGGAATAAAGGTGTAAGTCATCATGCCCAGCTACTATGATGCTTTATGATGCCACTCCAACCAACAGATTCCTTTACTCCTACCTCTAACCCTATTAATCCAATCAAGACATTTATGCTAGTCCATAGTAAAAAATGCTACCAATTTAGAAATATTTGCTACCTAAAGAAAAATAAATAAAAAATCATTCTATGGTTTTTAAATTTTTCACTGTACCCAATGGCTTCTAGTTTCTAAAAACTTAATCTATTATTTCCTTTTAAGTAAGGAAGGCATGAGTCAGGCATGGTGGTGCATGCCTTTAATCCCAGGACTTGGGAGGTAGGTGAGCAGATATCTGCAAGTTTGAGGCCAGCCTAGTCTATAAAGTGAATTCTGAGACACCTAAGGCTATTACACAAAGAAACCTTGTCTTGAAAAATCAAAAAACCAAAAAGTTTATATATATATATATATATACATATATATATATGTATATATACATATAAAGCAGTATTTTCTCTTGTGTGATTTTGACTAGAAGTACCTTCCTGTTCTAGCTCTTCCACTATTTCAAAAAAGATACCATTTTTCTTGAGTTAGTCACTGATGTACAGATTCTACTGCAGCCTTCTAGTTATGGAACAATCTACCCTGATAATACAGTAAGGAAAACTGTATCCTTCACTGACCAACTCCTTTGTGAACAATCAATCTGAATTCCACTGCCATACGAAAAGCCCCACAGGATCACAAAGCAAAAAAAAGTTCAGAATGTCAACTGAATCCACAGACAATTCTGAGAGAGGCAACAACCTATGCAGTAACCTAAAAGTTCCTAAGCATGGAATCTGGCTAACTGCATTCTACATTCTAATAGTCACACCTACCTGCATTCACTGTTCCAGGGAAA